TGTGTTTTTGAGAAAAACAATAATTTTTTTCTCTGGAAAATTCGAGAGCAATTCTGATTATTTTCAAGGGAGTACTGTACTTCGGGGAAAAATATTTAACATGAGCAATTCGTATTCAGGGGATACTGTATAACATTGCTCATGTTAGGATTACTGTAGATAAGGAATTTTGCTGGGAGTACTGTAATCCCAAAAATTTGAAAGAAATTTCAAATTTTGGTAGATCAAAACTTGAGAACACCTGGATTACTGTAGCTTGAATCATGATATTACTGTAGAGAGCTTTGAGATTACTGTAGATGCTCAGAAAAAATTCTAAAATCTACAGTACCCCTAAATTTCAACCTAAAAACCTAAAAAAAACATCAATTCCAAAGTACAAACTTTTCTGAAACCTTTAAATTTGTTTTTTCAACCTTTTCCACTTGCTTCCCCCATATAATTAAAAGAAATGACCAATTTTGAAACAAAAAAAACTTTTTTTCGGTTTTCAAAAAATCAAAATTATGCTCGCAAACTTGTTTTTTTAATCATATAAAAAATTTAAAAAATTCTCCAGGGGGAACTTTTGCTCAAAGAGAATAACAATTAAAAATGTGAATAACATTCCAAGATTTTGTGATTTTTTTTTGAGAAAAAGGGGGAGGGGGATTCAGAAGAACTTTGAGAACAATCTGAACCATCTACAGTACCTCTAGCGCTTCTAGAAAGACTGATAGACAACTCAAAGAGGTCTTGACTGGATCTACAGTATCCCCAGATTCTCTGTGAGAGCAAAGTTGATCAAAAATCTCCAGTTACAAAATCCTGGGCTCTTTTTAAAAAAATAATTTTTGTGCTTGGAAAAAACTTGTGCTCTTTTTCTCCTGCTCCAAATAAAATTCGAAAAAGTGTTCGTTCGTTCTTCCATCTCTCAAAAACTAAAAGAAAAAACCAACACAAAAAAGAATACGAGAAGGAAAAAGTGCCAAGTCGTAAACAACATTGAAAAACTATATAGTTTCACACCCCGTAAGAAGAAGAAGACAATGTTGTTGTTGTTGTTGTTTGTCTCATACTGAAACTATTATTGTTCTTCTTTCTTTCTTTATTTCTGGAACACAAAATGAGCACAGGAGGCTCAGGGAGTGAGAAGAAAAAAGTGGAAAATAATCTCAAATTCGAGAACAATGCAACAATAGGAGAGTGTCGTAAATAAAGTTGCAAAAACATTTTTTTTGCTTTCCTGATGGCTGGAACACACATAAACAACATTTTCAGGGACCATCGAAAACAATTTGGAATTTCAGACAGGACGACAGGGTTTAGGCTGATCTCAGGTCTAGTCTAGACGTGTTAGGCTCAGGCGTGGCCGCTGAAGCGGTTTCGCTTCCGTATCTAGCCAGAGTGGGTTTCTAGGCGCGAGCCCTACACATCCAGCTTCTCTAGACACTGCTGCTTGCCAGCCAGCCTTGCTAGGCTTGGCTACTACTTGACATAAAGGCTCTCAAGGCACCTTACCTAGCCACAGTGGCTGTCAAGGTGCGACTCCTTGCCAGAGTGCTGCTCTAGGCTCGAACCCTACATGATCAGGTTCTCTAGACACTGATGCTTAACAACTAGGATTCCTAGGCTCATCTACATGACACAGTAGCTCTCAAGGCACCTTCCCTAGCCATAATGGTTTTCAAGGTGCAGCTCCTTGCCAGAGTTGTTATCAAGGTGCGAACCCTATAAATTCAGGTCCTCTAGGCTCATCTACTTGACACAGAAGCTCTCAAGGTACCTTACCTAGCCACAGTGACTCTCAAAGTGCAACGCCTTGCCAGAGTGTTTCTCTAAGCGCGAACTCTACACAATCAGGTTCTCTAGCCATTGCCGCTTAACAACTGGGTCCTCTAGGCTCATCTACTTGATACAGTTGCTCTAAAGGCTCCATAACTAGTCACAGTGGCTGTCAAGGTGCAACGGCTTGCCTGAGTGGTTCTCAAAGCGCGGCTCCTAGTAAAAGCCTAGGAAATTCACAGGTTATCGTAGTCTGGTAGAGTTACTGTAGATGTTTTCTTCATTTACTACTGTAACTTGAATTAACTACTGTAGATCTGAACTTCTGCAAACATTTCGGCAGCAAAAATTCAGAGTTACAGTAATGGCCCCAGCCAGAAAATTTAAACTCAAAATTTTTGATCTCAAATTTTCCAAGCAAAAAATACGTTTCAAAAATTCCTTCAATAAAAATTTTCAGTGAAAAAATTGATTATCATCATTTTCTCGAAGAACAAAAAACCCGACAGTACCTCTAGACAATTTTTCACGAAAATAGAAAAAAAGGGTAAAAGAGAAGAGAAAAAGTTCATTCGACCTTTTTTCTTACAAAATACAAATTTCGCTTATTTTTCCACACAAAACAAAATTACTGTGGGAAAATTTGGAAAAATAAAAATAATTTTTGAAATTACGAAAATACAGAGGGGTTTCAAATAAGGAACATTAAGAAAAATAGACTTAAGAACCTTAAAAAGCCTCTAAAAAAAGTACCTAAAACTTCCAATTTCTAATGAGAAGTACAACAACTCGCCGTGTACTTTTTCCTAATTAAAATTAAAATCTCATTCATATTTTTGGCTCTCGCTTCAGATAATAAAAATGAAAATAATAAGTAAAAAGAGAAACGGACATCACATGTTCATAACATATAACATATAATTTTGTTGTCTTAGTGAAGCGAACATTTGAAAATTCAAAAATTGAAATTAGAGTGAAAAACACGAGAGAGAGAAAGAGAGAGAGACGCAGAGAAGCTAGATATTCAGATATCATGGGGGAATTGAGAAGCTAGAGTCAGACAACTAGAATTCAAACAATTGTCCAGAGTCAAAATCAGACAGCTAGAAATGTTAGAGACGCAGAAATAGCAGAAACTGACAAACCATTGCTCAGGTTAGACAGCCAGACATTTTTGGTCAGAGACGCAGAATAATTCCAAAGCTAGAGTCAGACAACCAGACATCAATCAAAAATGTTCAAAATTCTAAATAAATAAGGTCAGAGACGCAGACATCTTCAAATTTCAAATTCAAAAGTGTTCCAGAAGTCAGAGTCAGACAACCAGCAATCTCTCATTCAAAATTCAGAGACGCAGAAATCCTCAAATACTAACAAAACATTGCTCAGGCTAGACAACCAGACATTTTTTTAGCTTGAAAAAGGTCAGAGACGCAGACATCCTTGAACACCTCTGATAATTCCAAAGTTTTCGAAGCTAGAGTCAGACAGCCAGAAAAAATGTCAGAGACGCAGAAATCACAAATTAATTGAAATTAATTATCTCAATTCCAAGCCCAAAATATAACGTGGTCAGAGTCAGACAACCAGAAAAATCCAAAAAAGGTCAGAGACGCAGACACCACTCACCAACAATTAACCAATTCTAATTAACTAATTAACATTCAAAAAATGATCCAAAGCTAGAGTCAGACAACCAGAAACGTTCCAAAAAATGGTAAGAGACGCAGAAGACACGCCCAAAAAAGAAAACAATTAATTAAATTCCAATTAATTCCTGACTCAAAAAAAGTGGCTAACAATAAACAAAAAAAAGTGTGTCTCAAAAAAATTTCCGAGTGAAAAACATGCACAAGATGACACCCGCGCTATGCATTCCAAATTATTTTTTGTTGTTTTTTTCGAAAAAAAAAATGTTGCTCAATTTTTTTGGGCAGAGAGAAAGGAGCCTAAGAAATTTGTGTGAAACAGCTAAAGAAGACGAAAAAAAAGAAAAAGTTGCGAGCTCTAGACAAAAACAACATTTGTATAAACATTGTGTGTATGAGTTTCAGAAAAGAAAAAAGAAGAAGAGTTGGCTGAAAATCTCTGAAAAAAAAATTGTTTTTCAGATTTTTCTGCAGCTCAAAAAATTATATTGTTGTATATACAAACATATATTATTTTCCGGTGGCTCATGCAAAAAAAAAGAATGAAATCAAAAAAACATCGGCCACAATTTTTTTTGTTTGGAAAATTGGGAAAATAAATTTTTTGCACGTCATTTCCGGGATCAAAGAATTTTTGAAGAAGGATTCTACAGTACCCTGGGTTACTGTAGGGTAAAATATACTATTCACAGTATGCCGTCGGGTTACTGTAGTCCAGTTTTTGGTAATTTTCTGTCATTTTGAGAAAAAAATTTCACAGTACCCTTGGTTACTGTAGTCAAAAAATTATTTATCTAAAGTAACTCAGAGAATCTGGGACTACTGTACTATTTACAGTAACCTGGGATATATTATTTTGATAGTCTACAGTAATCCAGAGCGTCTGAGGTTACTGTAGCTGTCTAAACCAACATTTTTGAATTTATTTCCTAAAAAATACCATGGATTACTGTAGTCTATTCGAAACCTACAGTAATCCAGATCGACAAAGGTTTATTTAGTTCAAAATTTTGTAGATCAAACCTGATTTTGTGCTACAGTAATCCGGGTTACTGTAGCTGTCAAATCCAAAAAAATCATTTTTTTTTAATTAGAAAAAAACCTAAATTACTGTAGTCCTACAGTAATCCAGAGCTTCAAAGGTTACTGTATTTCAAAATTTCGTAGACCAAACCTAATTTTAATCTACAGTAATCCGGGTTACTGTAATTTGGATTATTTTGATCCAAATTGTCTAGAACTACTGTGATACTGTAGATCATTCAAAATTCTAGACAAAACGTGGCTTGAATCTACAGTACTCTACAGTACTCCCGAAATTTTCCAAATCAGAAAACAACCAATTAATTTTCTGATTTGTCCGAAAATGTCACACCAAAAAACCAACCAAAAAAACATGTTCTAGAAGTACAGTACTCTACCGTACTCTATCTCTCTCAAAATGCCAAAAATGTTCCCCTCGAGACCACACATCATATTTTTCAGGTGCACAAAACAAAAGTGCCTTGACGAGAAAAAATTAATTTCCTCTCAATATTTTTTTTGTCAAAACATTGGCTCAAAATACCCGTCTTGCACTGCACATTTTTAGGGACCACCCAAAAAAAAACAATCCGAACCTCCTTTCAGCTTTCGATCCTCCTCTTCCAGATCTAGAATTTTCTTTCCATCAGCTCCAATCAAATTTTCAGCATCACCTTCCAGCTCGTGAAGTTGTAGGTTGAGTTTTCGCCGTTTTTCCACTAGACTACATTTGAAACATGTGCAATTTGCAAAAGGACATTCACACTGCAAAAAAATTCACTGTTTCAAAAAAATCATAAAATTTCTGGGAAAATCGCAAAATCTGATAACTGTCAGATTTTAAGACAAAATTTTTTTTATTCACTGTTTCAAAAATAATATAATTTTCAAATGAAATACTGAGTTGGTTCAGATTATCATCTTTTCTTTGTCAAATAAAAAGCCAGAAATTTTTGAGTGAGAAAAAATTCACTGTTTCAAAAAAATCATAACATTTTTGAATTTATATGGATTTTTATTATGATTTTGCGAAGTTATTTCCAGAATTCTTACTGAAAAATAATGTTATACAAAATTTTGAATTTTTGAGCCAGAAATTGAAAAAAAATCAGGAAATAAACGTTTTCTAGCAATTTTTTTGGTTACAAAAAATTCACTGTTTCAAAAATATTTTAATTTTTGAATAAAATATTAAGCTTGTTTAAATGATCATCTCTTCTTGTCAAATAAAAAACCAGAAATTTTTGAGTGAGAAAAAATTTCACTGTTTCAAAAACATTATAGATTTTTTTCAATTTATAGGAATTTTATTCATCATTTGCGGAAATTTGGAATTTTTGAGCCAGAAATTGAGAAAAATTTATGAACTAAACATTTTCTAGCAATTTTTTCGGTAAGAAAAAATTCACTGTTTCAAAAATAATATAATTTTTTAATAAAATATTAAGCTTGTTGATCATCTGATTAAATGATTATTTCTTCTTGTCAAATAAAAAACCAGAAATTTTTGAAAGGGAAAAATACACTGTTTCAAAAAAATCATAACTTTTTAATTTAAATGGATTTCATTCATCATTTTGCGGAGTGTGTTCCAGAATTGTTAATGAAAAATAATATTGTTCAAAATTTGTAATTTTTGAGCCAGAAATTGATAAAAATTCAGGAAATAAACGTTTTCTAGCAATTTTTTGGGTTAGAAAAATTCACTGTTTCAAAAAATCCGTAAAATTTTTGAACAAACAATGTAAAAGATGTTGATTTGATTTTGGACATTCGATTAAAAAAAAATCCAGTAAAGTCTGTTTTGAAACCAAAATTCTAGTTTCAAAACATAACTAAAACAATTTTTGAGCAAGAAAATTGAAATATTCCCAAAATTTTGATCATAAATATTTTCTGGCTATGTTTTAGTTCAGAAAAAATCACTGCTTCAAAAATATCATAACTTTTTAGGTTCAAAAAATTCAACGTTTTATGATATCAATATAAATCAGATTGATTTTGAAATTTTGAACTAAAAAATCTCACTGTTTCAAAAAAAAATTATATTTTTTGGGTAACATTTCTAGTTTATTATGAAGTCCCTTCTCTTCAGATAAAAAAACCAGAAATTGTTTGATTTCATAATTTTCAGGTTAAAAAGTTTTTTACCCTAAAATTTTAAGCCTGGCCAGAAAATTCGGCATTTTTCAGTTTGAAATTTTAAAAATAAACACTATCAAAAAAATCCGAAAAAAAATGAAATTTAGATCAGAAACATTCTCCTAAACACTTTTTTGAGTAGAAAAATTTACTGTTTCAAGAAAGTCATAAATTTTTTTTTTCAAAAGTATGAGGGTTTATGTAAACAATTTCAGTTTTCTTTCTTGAAATTTTTTTTTGAAAAATTTACTGTTTCAAAAGAATCATAAATTATTTTGAGAAAATTGTTTTCCATTGCAAATAAAAATTCTAACAGATACACAAAATTTTGAACTAAAAAATCTCACATAGAAAAAAATGAGAAAAATTTGCTTTAGACGCGAAATTACGACCAAAACCCTCTGACCGCACGCTGACCCTCGACTCCGCCCTCTTTTTTTCTCTCAAAACTGCAATTTTGCGGCGCACTTTTTTTTTCCTTTGAAAAATGTTCGCATTCTAGAACATTCTTCTGCGTCTCTCACCCCTTTTCCGCCTGCGTATTTGAATCTGCAAACACTGCACAGCAGCAAAAAATGTCTTATTTTTTTCTATGTGAATCTCACTGTTTTAAAAAAATCATAAAATTTTGTTTTGAAAAAAATGTTGATCCGTGTAGACACTGTTTGAAATGTGGAATTTTTGAGCAAGAATTTCAAAAAATTGGGAACATTTTTGGTCAGATAAATTTTCTGGCAATTTTTTAAGTGAGAAAAATTTCACTGTTTCAAAAAAATCACAAAATGTTTTTTGTTGAAAAAATGGTGATTCTTGAATTTTATAGCCAAATCAATTTTCCCAAAAAAAAAAAGCCAACCTTATGATTTTTTCTCGGCTCCGTCCTATCGTGATTCAGACATCTTTGACAATAATACACTTTCTTCTGATCTGAAATTCAAAATTTTATTTTTTTGGCGGAAAAACAGTATAAACCCCACCTTCTTTGGGCCTTTGAATTTCCAAATGTGCCGTGGATTTTTGTACAATTTGTTGTTGTTGCTGCTGTTGTTGTGTGATAAAATGAGGTATATTTTGAAAAAATGGCGCACACATTACGTCCGCCATTTTCGCAGAAAATGCGGTGGAAAATCTGAAAAAAAAACTTTGAGAGAAATTAGCTGAAAATCACACAGAAGGTTAAAAATTTCGAGAAAATCATGTTTCCAGATTTTCAGAATAAAAAAAATACCCCAAATATCATGAGAAAATTTCAAAAATGTTCAGATAAATTTCAAATTATTTTCAGCAATAAATAAAATTTTCATTAAAAAAAACTTCAGGATTCTGAAAAAATATTCAAATTGTTCCAGAAATGTTCAAAAAAATTTAAAAATTTAAAATTCAGATTTTCAGAAAAATATTAATTTTGGCGCTAAAAATATGCCACGTGGCATTTTTTTTCAGATTTTTGAAAATTATAGAATTTTTTTCCACGTGGCAATTTTCTGATCAGTTCAAAAATTCACCAGATATTTCTAGCTCTAAAAATAGTTGACCTGAATTCAAGAAAAATTCCAGATTTTCAGATTAAAGTTATCCTAACTCCAGATTAATTAGGTGCTTACAAGTGTTCCAAATCTTCAGCCAAGAAAAAAAGTGACTGAAAAAAGAAGAAGCGAAAAAAAACGATTTGATCTCGAAGCCAAAGTGGAACCGAGATCTCGAATCGAGAAAAAACACAGACTGAAATGCAAGAAAAAAATGTAAGAAAATCAAGGAAAGTGAAACAAAAAAGTGAAAAGAAACTATACATTTTTGGTATTTATTATTATTTTTATTATTAGTAAGAGGAAATACAGTAGAGATAGTAGTACATACATTCAATTATGTATTCATGTTTTGTCTTTTTTTTGTAACAAGATTCAAGATTCTCGAGATTTTTCCATTTCTATAGAATCTTGGAGTGCGAAATTGGATTTCAGAAAGCCTAGGCTTAGGCTTGGACTGAGCTCAGGCCTAGGCCTAGGCTTAGACTCGGCCGCTAAAGCGGACGGTCTACACTCGCGCCTAAGGCGCTCGACAAGGCCTTAGGGGCTGAGCTTAGGCCTAGCCTTAGGCCGCTAAAGCGGAAGACAGTGCCGCTACGCGGAACCTTGCGGAAATATTTGAGCTCAACAAAAGGGCTGGAAGTTTCAGAGGAAAATTCTATCACAGATATTAGACCCTGGAGAAAAATCTGAAAAATTTAAACCCAGAGAAAAATCTGGGAGCTCAAAAATTCAGAACTCCAGATTGTTGGGCTCACTGTAAATTCTAAAAAAAAACTGAAAATTGTGATTTCCGCTTTTCCAGAATCTCTAGAGAAGATTCAAAATTCCAGAAATTATTTCAGAATTTTTTTTTCAAATCAAGAATTTGTGAGCTCCAAAATTTTCAAAACTCAAATTTTTCAGCTCCAAAAATGTCAAAAAAAATTCTGGAATTTTCAGAATTCTAGAAATCTAGAAAATGAGCCCAAGCTTCATTCAAAAATACTACAGAAAATTCAAATTTTCAGAAAATATTTCAGATTTTTTTTTCAAATAAAAAATTTACGAGTTCCAAAATTTTCAAAAAAAAATTCCAAAACTCAAAATTTTCAGCTCCAAAAACCTAGTTCCAAAGCTGTTTTTCAAAAAAAAAAAAAATTCTGAAATTTTCAGCCTTTATTCAAGAAATCTAGAAAATGAGCCCAAGCTTCATCCAAAAATACTACAGAAAATTCAAATTTTCAGAAAATATTTCAGAATTTTTTCTTCAAATCAAGAAGCTCTCAAAATTTCAAAAAAAAAATTCCAAAACTCAAAATCTTCAGATCCAAAAATGTAGCTTCAAAAAAAATCTGGAATTTTCATATCTAGAAAATGAGCCCAAGCTTCATCCGAAAATAGGTTCCAAAAACGTTTTGGCTGCGGTTCAAAAACAACATCTGCGAAATTTTGTTTATTTACAAAGGACCCGAAGAGCAGTGATTCAGCTCAGCTCAAAAAGACTGTACAGCAGCAGCAGAAAAAGCCTCCCAAAAAAAGTCAACAATCAAAAAATTCCGAAAGGAAACAACACAAACAACAACAAAACGGAACACTTAAAATTACGGTAGCCGGGCGGGAAATGAAAGGATTCCGGGAGAAGAAGAAGAACATTTTGGAAAAAAAGAGGCATAGCACAAACTGTTTTTGATAAACAACAACAACAACAAACAACATTGTTATGTGTGTTTACAAAAAGTCAACAATGGCCTGGAAAACGAACAAGGAAAACGTGACGTGGTTTGGATTACTGTAGATGGGCCTTAATTCGGAGAGAGGTACAGTAGTCTGGGTAATTTTTGGTAGATCAGAAATATATGATCTACAGTTATTATCGAAAATCTCATCGGTACCACGCGCTCCACCGAAATAAACACGCAACGCAGACCGCGCCGCGCCGCAACACACACAAATAAGGGAACGATTAAAATTTCCTCCTTTTTTTTGTGTATGTTGTGGCGCGGCGCGGTCTGCGTTGCGTGTTCATTTCGGTGGAGCGCGTGGTACCGATGAGATTTTCGATAATAATGCAGATTTGTAGATCCATAGTTAGGTTAAACTACAGTAATTTAGTTAAACTTGCAGTTTTAAGTACTGTAGTTTCTAAGATACCGTATTCCTATAAATGTTGAGCTACTGTAGGTTACTGTGATCTACCAAACTCTTTAGCGCCATTAACTACAGTAAGAAATCTTCTAGAAACAGATTACTGTACGTGCTAAATTAATCACAGTAATCCAAAAAATTACTGTTCTACAGTAACATTTCGGACTACGGTAGGTAGCTGATTTTCGAATCTACAAGGAGCCTTTCATACTAAAGTAATCAGATAAACCTTGCAGTTCAGATTACTGTAGATACTGTACCGAAAATTGGAGTTACAGTAACCTCTTCCCATGTGAGATACAGTATCTAGGTTACTGTAGGTAGATCAACAAAAAATCTCAAAATATTCATGGCTTCATTTATTTTGTAAAAAAATCTGATTTTTTCCCGCCAAAATCTACAGTACCCCCCTCCCCCGTTAAAATAATGATAACATAACTATATTATAGCATGACTCATAAGCACAAATGACGTGGCACAAAATTCAAAAAAATTTTCTGGGCTTTTGAGAACCGAAAAATTGTGTTATCAAAAGAAAAAGGAATTATTTAGTATGTATTTATGTTTTTTTTTTGGAAAAAAAAAGAAAATGTTGCATTTTTACTGATAACCCCGCAAAAAACTCACAAAAAATATTTGATTTTCCGAGTTTTCTGATTTTTCGAATGTCAAAAATGAGCAAAAAATATTTTTTTTTGGTTTTTTTTCAGATTCAGAAAAAATAAGGTCACGTCAGGAACAAAAAAAAATATTTTCAATCAAAAATAAATTTGTTTTTTTATTTTTTGGAAATGATAGAATGTTGAGGTCCGATAAGAGGAATTAAATAAGGTCACGCGTGGTGCAGCTGGTTAGATTTGGGATTATGGAGTGAGAGACCGGGGTTCGAGTCTGGGTGGGAGCTTCTTAGAAAATTACGGAGGTTGGAATTTCAGAATCTAGAACTGAACTTCCAATTCTAATAATTCTGGAGCTCGAAGTTCAGATCTCAAAAACTAGGCAATTCTGAATTCTGAATCCGAATTTGGAATTTCAAATTTCAAATTCAGAAAAGTCTTCAGAAGTTCTGGAATTTCAGAATCCGAACTGAAAATTCAAATCTGGGCTCAAAACCTCAGAATATTCAGAAAATCAGTTCTGAAGGCTCTAAATATCAGAAAAGCGTGGAAAATTCTGAAAAAAAATAGGTCAGCTTAAGGTCCTAAAGCTTCTATCCTTAAGAAGCCTAACAAGCCTAAAATAAGCCTAAAAAAGGCCTATGAAGCCTAAGCCTATAAAGCCTTAGAACCATTGAAAAGCCTATACCTAAACCTAAGAAGCCTAACAAATCCACGAAGCCTAAAATGAGCCTAAAAAATCCCAGCTCCAAACTCCTAGCAACAAAAAAAAAACTATGCAAACTCTGATAAGACCATCTCCAAAAATGAAAAAAAACAGTACATTTTTTGATTATGATAAACACAACATCACATAAATAAATATGTTTTTTTCAAACAAAAACTTTCAATTTTTTCAGCCACCAACAGGTACCGGCTATTTGTACAGGAACTTTTTCAAACAAAAAATGATAAAAATACAATTTTTCAAAACTAAAACTGTATTATTTTCGATTTCGTATAGAAAAAAAACTTTGGAAGATAATGGTGAAAAAATAAATAATAAAATATAGTTATAAATTGGGGTCAACTATGCGTACTTGAAAAAAGGAACAAAGTTTTTTTTTTGGTTTTGAGAAAAAAAACCGAAAAAGATGAGAGATAGAGATGGAACATTTTGGGGGTGGAGTCAGTCAAGAAACATATTTTTTTGGTTTTGAAGGTCAGATTTCAGATGGGGTTTCTGGAAATTTGGGGGCTGAAATTCTAGGATTGAAATTCTGGAGATGAAACTCAGGATAGAATCCGGGATTCTACATTTACTAAGAAGCCGCGCCTCGAGAGCTTCTATGCCAAGTAACCGAGCCTAGAAAACTCATCTGTCAAGGATCAACCCCTAGAGAATCTAGTTCTCAAGAAGCCGCACCTGAAGAACCTAGATGTCTAGGATCGGCTTCTAGTGTTTCACTTCGACAAGGAACCAAGCCTTTAGAATGCTCATCACAAGCAGCAGAACCTAGAAATTCTGGTTTTCCTATAGCCGCGCCTAGAGAACCTAACTCTCTAGGATCCACATCGAGAGATCCACTCTGGGCAAGGAGCCGAGCCTTGAGAGCATGGTCCTGAAGTAGCAGCGCCTAGAGAAGTTTCCAGATTTTTTTTAAGTGTAAAAATTTTAGTTCTGAAATTCTAGAGGTCTGAAAATCTGAATCAAGGACGTTTAGAATTTCAGATCTGAGAATTTTTGAGCTGAAATTCAGGCTTCCTGAGAGCGTTCTAGAAATCTCTGTCTGAATTTCTGAAATTCTGAACTCAAATTTATTTCTGGAGGTCGAGATTTCAAAAAGTTTTTAAA